TTAAAGAAATGAAATTTTAATTTTTATGTTTAAACTAAACAATTTTGAAACATTTTTTTCTACAATTAAAATAAAATAATCATGTACAATATATAATTCTTTTTCTTAATATTTTGTTTTTTATTAATTATCATTTTATAACTAGAATATTAATATATTCGTGTATATATATACACGAATATTGGTCGATGCTTATTGTAGTAATAAGTACATGAACAATATTTCTCAATATACATATGATAAATAATATAAATAATTTAATTTTGTATCGAAAAAAGTAAAAGAAAAATAAAATAAAAAATTAAATATATTATAATGTATTTCTACAATAATTATTGTATTGAATCATGTTTCTTTAATTATAGTAATATTTCGTGATTTTTGTTTATTGCCTTGACTGTACGATTAATTTTCAAAAACAATTCTCATTCATGATAAAGATTCACAGAAAATATCGAAACGGTTATTCAGCTATAAAAATCAAACTCAAATCAATAGAAATGATCAAACGAATGCGAAATTCTTTATGACAGGATTTAATTTTCGAAAATGGATATTGTTTGAAACTCCATTGATCTATGTTTTGTGGAACAATTCGTGGAAACGAGTTACACGAAATTCGAAACATGAAATCGAATCGCAGTAAAATACTAAAAAGTTTTCATTTTCATTGAATTTTGTGAACAAAAATTTGAACTCAATTTGAACTTATTCTGTATCAAAATGTATTTGATAAAAATGTTCTGATGAATTTGATTTCTTTCTTTTTATTTTTAATTTTTAATTACATTCTATATAATTCTTTTTAATTGTTTTCTATTGTTGTCGTGATAATTGTAAACAATATGCAAAAAATATATATATATATATAAAACATAAATGAAATATTTATTATATTATTTAATATATAAATCTTTAATAATAATAATATATAATAATAATAATATATAAAATCTTTATTCATAGAAATATAATTCTATGAAAATATTGTCTGTTATATGAGATTTAATCAAAAAATTGAATGTTTTTATTATCTATAAAGAATTAAATTTTATAAATTATTATAACATCATAAATCATTTATCACAATTTCTACTCTATACATTCTTTTTCCTTTCTATTTTCATACGAATTTTTGAATTTTTATATTCACATAAATAAATTACTTTCTGTCTCATCTCAATTCCCTGAGAGTGGTGCTACAAAATGAAAAGCAACCTTGTAACATCGTAATTTAACGCGTGACAAAATATTCATAAATACACGAAAAGTTTATAAAAACTCTCATCCCTGCCTCTGCGTTATACATCTAAGTGGAAAAAGAGAAAATATCGCAATTTTATTTTATCGACGATATCCAACAAAACCAGCGTAAAACGTCATCGAAATTTGAATATTTACAACTGTAGGGATTAATCGTCGTCGTAATTAAACGCAACCAAAGTGATGGTGTGTTTATATAAATTCTGTACAGCCAGTCACAAAAATGTCAATTATATATTTATTAATAAATATTTCAAGATAAATTAACAAATTATGTTATCAAAACCAACAATAATTTTATTTTGTATAAAATATTGTGAATATATTAAGCACAATTTATCATACAAACATAAATCATAGGATTATAATTAATTCTAGAGATCAAAAGAAAATTTGGTGTACAAAAATGTTATTTGAGATTTATTTATCAAAATTTATTTACATATGAAAATTTATATATGTGTAGAAAATTTAAATCTACAGAAATATATAGAATCCACATGATATGCAGAAAGGTATAAATAATCAAATTAAACAAAATACGTTCTATGATACTTCAAAGGTGAAACATATTTTTATTGCTGTAATTGTATTAATGAAAATTTTAAATTATAAAAAATCAATCTAGTTTATCTGCATATATTTTTTTTTAAATATTTATCTTTATATTTTATCAAATGTCGTGTTTTGCAATGTTATATAAAATATAAAATATTTCAAGTGTTTGGAAAAATAAAATTGTTAATCTTAAAATGTGTTCAAGTTTTAATCTTTCATCTTACTTTTTGTAAAAAATATTTTTTCATTGAAAATTTAAATGTCGATTTCATTTTTTTTGTCAAAGAAATTGCTGCATATTATTACATATATATATATATATATATTTTTATATTTTTATTAAAACTAATTTACTAAAACTAATTTATATATTTTTATTAAAATTTTCGGATTAAATGGATTTCCTTGATAATAATACGAATACTTTTACGACCGACTGTACTTACATTCTACCGACGAAAAAAGAAAAAGAAAGGAAAAAATTTCCACCATCGAAATCTGTGCGAGAAAAAAAAAAGAAAGATCATTCTTGTTTTTGCCAACGTTTAAATTGCAACTAATTAACGCTCCTTTTTTCCGCGTAGAAAAATTCCGAAAATTCAGCGTTTTAACAAATTGAACGCGAACAAGATAGATAGAAATTAAACAAAATACAGGGAGAAAATGAAACGATAGGTATGCGGTTCATACCACGGTTAATTAACTCCCGACGAAATTGAAATGCATTGTAAGATACGAGTTTCCAATATTAATTTCGCATCTACAAGTCTACGTGGCGCGCGTTTTTCTTCAACTTAATTATTTTTCGAAATAATGTCCGATGCGATAAATCATTTCAATTATATTTTCGTAGCTTGTTTATTGAGCTCAAGATAATATTGAAATAAAGTACTTCAAAATAAAATATATTTATCGGGCTAGATTTTATTTACTTTACTCGAACAAAGATATTTCTCTATGTTATTCAATTTAATAACTGAACTTGAATCAAATTTTTTTATTTTATTTTTTATTATATAATTTCAAAAGATCAAATATTATCTAATATTTGCTATAATTTTGTATGCTATTTCTGTAGAAATTCTTTTTGATTTCTATAATGACAGATTTATCGTAATTTAAATATTTTTCTGATGTCATGTTTAAAATAAAATAAATTTTGAGCGTAAATATCATCACGCTATAAAAAATTCCAAAAAGATTCAAATTTTAATAATTTATTATAGAATAAAAAAATGGAAATTTGTAACTCATTTTTTTGTGTAAAATATATTCATTAATTTAATTCGAAAAAATTATTTGAAAATAATTTTGTTTTTATTTTATATAGAATGAAACTAGTTTTCTTATTTTTTTAAAGTAAAAACATGTTTAAAATCTATTATTATAACAAATTATTGTTAGTTGTTTTGTTTCGAATAAAATTCTCAACTTATTATCTATACATAGAATGATTAATTAGAATAAAATTTAAAAAAAATTTAAATTTAATTATTGTGAAATTCTTTTAAAATAATACATTCACTAAATTTATTAAACTTAATAAAAACATATTAATAAATGAATAAATATAAATAATCCTCAATGAAAGAATCACATAATAAAAATCACATAACAAAAAACCGCACTAAAAACAAAAAAATCATTTCTATATAGAGGAATTAAATTACATCTATTTCCCTTTTTCCATCGCGTTTTAAATACTACGTTCTGGACATCCGCCTCTAAAAATAAATTAAAATCGTCCCCATACTCAGAAACTCGATTGTCAATTGGAAAAGACAAAGAACGTAAAAAAGAAAAAATGAAAAACAACTCGCCTCGATGAACATTGTTGTGGACGGTGTTTTAGCCTCGAATCGAAATCAATAAGCCGATTATTGGTTGAGCTGAACACAGATTACGTTGCTTTGAATTGACACCCCGACACGGGCATCCATGCAACGATTGAATTTCGCGGACTTTCGAGACGGGCGGACGTCCGCTCTAGTTCCTTTTTCCATGTCTGATACCGTGAAATCATGCTCAATGTAATCCTCGCGGACACTTCGCGAAGAATCAACCTTTTGTGACAACCCAGCCAAGTTTGCAACCATTGTATGATCATATTATTTACTTACATGATGGTAAACAATACGAAACAGTGCCATGAGACGAAAAGAAAGATGAAGATTGAAAAAGAAAACGTGTCTTTTTAACGCCATCTATACTAATTAATATCTATTGTTTATAATATTCAATCATATAAATAAAATTAATATAAAAAAACAATATTTATTTATTGTTTATATAATATACAAGACATGTGTAATATGAAAAATATATATTTAAATAATAATAGTAAAAATTCACGATTTAACAAAAATAAACAATAAACAAAAAAGATATAAAAGATTAAATTAGTAAATTAGTAAATATTATTAATAGATGATAGCGAATTGATAGCGAAACCAAAGGAAAACTATAAAGAATAAAAAAATTAAAGAATCATAAAATATTAATGGAATAAAATAAGTAAATAATAATAAAAATTCTAAAATTATAAATATTATATAGTATTATATTATATAATATGATATAATTAGTATCTTAACCCTAAATTTTAATCAAAATACGCAATATATAGTAATAGATCATAGAGAGTTTCATGTACCCGCATACCCCTATTAATAATTTATAGATAATACAAAGTGGTATTGTCAATATTAGATATTTCGATTATTCGAACAATCTAACTAAAACAATCGATATTATGTCGTATTTAGAAATATATTCTCTCATAAATAATTTTTACTTTTCTATTTAATTTAATTTTTAAAAGTCATAATTATAATATAAAAAACAAAACTTGTAAAAAAAATATTAGAAAAATCTAATCAAATTAGAAATATGATAAGCGAAAATATAACATTTTAAATAACTTATGTATCAAATCTTTACTATTTAAAAATTATTATACATTCATGAATAAATGAATGTCAAGAGCAAAATTTCATAAAAAAGATTTATTTATAATGGAATTAAAAATATTGTAATTTTATTTATATACGATATACATATAGAAATAATCAAAAATTTTTAATATTTCTAAAATGTCATTATTTAGTAAAAATTGATATTGAAATCATTATATAAAATAAATTATATAGTTATATTTATATAAAATTTTATCTACATACGTATATATGCATAATGATGTCATGATTTTTTCTTTTCAATTTTTCAGCAATATGGCGAATAAACGAATAATCACCAAATACACAGATAAGTAACAAAAAAAAAACGAAAATCGTTTCACATCGTAGAACTAAAGAGAAGGATAATCTTGCCACCTGTTTACTTGATAGAAATTTCACAAAACAAACACGAAAAGGAACGAAATTGACAACAAGCAAAACTAACGACACACTCTTGTTTCTAAATTTCATTTAAACTGAAAGAAAAACAAAACGAATCTAACACGATGGATGACAGAGGGCACTATGTATGGTATATGTCTAATTTTCAAGCAGAGGGCGTTGAATCGATAGATCATTGACTGTAATATAGATTTTGACGGTTATGTCTCGCACAACGTCAACAATGGGGCAAACGGTGGGACGCATGCCTCATACATGGGCAGATTTATTGAAGGAAAGAGATCGTGTTTTATATTGGAGTGGTGAGGTTTTATCAAAAGTGATCGACAACGTAAACGAAGAAAGATCATTCCTGATCGATTACGGCAATGAAAGCATTGATAAAAAGATCGATTCGTGGATGGATTCGAACGAAGCACGAATCGATAGAATTTTCAGTAAACATCCAAACCTGCCAGAATCATTTAAACTTGAAGTGACAAACGAACTCAAACAAGTGATTATATATTTTTTTAATTTTTATTAATTTCTTTAAAGTGAAAGGTTAAATTTTGTTAATAAATAACATGTATTTTTATTCGTAAACCAAACAATATAAAATTTTATTTTGATATAAATAACAATATTATTGATGATAATAATTTGATATTGTATTTAGATAAAAGAAGATTTAAAAATAAAAATGAGACATGATTACTACCATGGCTATAGAGACATGGACAAGTTTACAAAAAAAGTAGACAGATTAGGAGAACGACAGCGTAAAATACACGGGAAACTTCTACATATTGAAAATATTTGCGATAATAATATAAAAGAATTTCGAAGAAGATTTGGCCCTTTGCGAGTGAAAACATTCAAAAATCTTAAATCAGGTGAAAAAATGATAGTTAAAGACAAGAGACTGAAGTCACAGTTTGCTAAACGAGTATGCATTTATAAATTTGCTTTTATAATTTTTTTTCTTAAGCAAATATATATATATATATATAAAATAATTATATTACTTTTTTCTCTAATTTCTTTAGGTATACGATATTGATCACAAAAATGTACAAGAATGTGCGAAATGTATCGATAAGTTAATAAAGATTATTGAAAAAAAAGCTATATTTAAACAATGATTAAAATTAGATAAATAAATAATCATTAAAATCAAAATTAACTTAGGTAAGACGAACAAATAAAAATAAAAATAAAATTAGATATAAGACAAATTTGTTAAAATACTAATGAGAAAACGTAAATCAAATGTAAAAAAACGAAATTAAGACGTAAATAAATTAAATTGAGTGCATATATATTTAATAACGATAATTTCATCACCATTTCTGTATTGAATCTTGTTCCACAAATTAACTATGTAGTAGACACCGATACGATCTCAAATTACCAGCGGCATTTCCGCTATAATATTAAGTCATCCTCAACTCCTTCCGTTCGTTCCGTTAGGAAACGTCACATTTCTCATGATTGCAAATTTGCATTAATTAAGTTTTGACAACAAGAGAAAGGAATTTCCCAAATGATTATCTGACAGATGAAATATTTCAAAGAGGAATAGAAATTATTGTTATATGAAGCTATTTAAGAAAGTTTGAAGTAATAGTTTTAAAACTAAAAACTAAAAATAAAAAAGTCACAAAAATTATTTATTTGAATTTAAATATGTTTAAGTATTATATTTCTAAATATTTCTAAATAAATATATACATCAATAAATATATTGATAAAATACTATTTTAAAAGAATAGGATCTAATAAAAAAATTCTTGATTTCTAAAAATACGATAAATAGAATTAAAATTTATATTATTTTTGTGCATATGTTTATATATATATTATATATAATATATTATATTATATTATATATATTACTTATATTATATATAAGTGAAAATGTTTAATCTACATGAGATTTTTTACTTGATAATCCTTAACATGATTATCTTATCTTGTATAATGTAATATAATAACATTTTGTAAATAAGTATATATATACGAAGTACATATATACATAAACGAATACTTGTATCAGATAAATTGAAAATGATATTCTCTTCTTTATAAATTGGCTTCAAATGATTTCAATATATTTTGCGTGATTTATTCCATTATTTATTCTCAATAGAATAAAATTCTCTAGAATAAAAGAAAGAAAAAAGAGAATCATATTGAAATATATTATCAATATTATGATAGATTCTTTTCGAGATTTTCGTTATTAGGAAAGCAGAGTGTACAAGATAGTTATATGAGAAATACATGATACATATTTATAAGTCTAAACTTGAATATTTCTGCACAAATATATATTGACAATTAAAAAAAGTTATATAATGTAATTAATATTTGCATATGAAATTCATACACAAGCATTCTATGCTAATTATAAACTAAAACATTTTTAATTATTTAATTCAATGATAAATTGAACAGTGATGTGAATTTCAAGAAATATCTTTAATATACTATCATATACATATAATATACACAGATATAAATATATTTATTTTATTATTTTACTTGCGTAAAATATTCATTACAACAATTTTTATTAACAAACTTTTAAAAATTATTGTTCACGAATAAGTTCATAATTGTATTATATTTTATAAATAATTAAAAATAATAATATATAGAAAAAAATATTCTTAAACGAAATATTGATATAATATATTGATATTGAAAATGGAAACAACCTATGAATATCCATTTTTATTATTTTCTTATAAAAACTTGGATTTTCAATACATGTACTCTCATATCTTATATCGCCTTTCAAAAATCGAATCGAGAGGAAAGCATCTGTAAAATAGTCAATACCTGACTAGAATAGATATACACTTGAGTACAATTCACAAGAGAATATTCGCATGGATATGTTATTACGCTCTAAGTCCACGTCTTTACAATCGTTAGAGAACATGTATTTACGTTTTGTTCCGCATCATTAAAAATTTTCACGTTTCGAGCATTTTTATATGAACTATTCCTTATGTGGATAATAACTATACTAAAACCACGATGCCACGGTAGCAACGGCGGTCGCAAAATGCCGGACATTATTAGGAAATCAAAACATTAGAGGAGCCATTTCATTTCGTCTGTTGAAGTTGCCTACATCTCCATCTGTAAACACTAGTTATAATTATTATTATTTTAAGAGATGTTTATAAAAAACGATATTATTGAGTCATGATATCAAAGTTTTAATCTTGTTACGTTAAAAATTAAAATATAATGAAGATTGTAATAATACATATTCCAAAAAAAGAAAACAAGATATAAATTTAAATTTAATTTTAAAACTTCATATTACACAATATATCATTATACATATATCACAATAGTAACATTTTTGTTTCCATTGAAACTCTCGTAATATTTAATTTTAATAAATTATTAATGAATTAATGAAAATGAAAATAAAAAAATTATTATATTACATAATTATCTTCCAAATACTTTCAATTTAAAGATTTCATTTATTGTAATCATAAAGATTTCAAAAAAAAAAAATGAAAATATTAAAAATTGAAATATTAAGTAAAAAGAAAACCGTCTATGATAATACTATAAGAATTCAATTTTGCCCGTAATTTAAAATTGCATACGAATTTTTTTTAAATAAAAATAAAAGTATTTATTCACAAGTATTTAAAATATATTTTAAATACGTTTATTTTTTTTGACAATTTCGAATATCATTTATAAATATTTGTATATTTTATCATTATTATAGATAGATGGAAAGTTGCTGTTCTATTGTTATCTACAAATGATAAAACGCATTTTTTGACATAGATGAGGAATATAATAGATGTGATATGTAGTGACATCTTATGGAACTTTGTAACACACGTTTTGAAATATCGACTTCAAAAAAGAATATTAGAGTATTTCTTGCCATCTAGTATTTTATAATCTAAATATAAAAAGTTAAGTTAAAAAATAGAAAATAAAAATTTATACTTACGTTTTATAATTTTAAAAATTAAAATGTTATCCATTAATTTAATAAATTTTTTACATAAAAAATATAATTCGAAGCCAATTATTTTTTATAAAATAATAATATAATTGTATTCTCATTCTCGATATAATAATTCATATTAAGTAATAATAATTTTTCAAATCTTACTGCTTGAAGATTATTGTGAATTAGAAATTCATTCTGATTAATCATGACCTTTTATCTTTCTTAAAAAAATTCTAAAATCTATTATGATATATTTATCGATAGATCAATACTGTGAATATAGAATTGGTGAGAAATTAAGTAGTGGAAAAAATGCTGATTTGTAATGTAATCAAAGAAAAATTATTTGCATTATTTTATTATAAATGAATTCCATAAAATAAATAAAACATAGGTTTAATATATATTATTATATTTATAATTTATTTTTTATATCATGATTTAAAAACTTCAGATTCTTCATTCCTAGATTCTATATAATTTGACGAGGTCATAGGTTTGTGAATAGAACATAAGTATTCTACGCGAATGATTATTATTACTTCCTTTTTCATTGACGGTTTTCTAACTCCCCTCCACATTCCTATATATACTATACATGTATATATGTTTGAGTCAATCTGATGACTCGTTAGTTAACTGGTGATTTCAGTTGAAATACTGTTGCAAATATTTACATACATACATTTAACTAACTTCGTTTTATTTACATTTAGGTAATTATGAAAGTATAATGTTGAAAAAGTGTTTAAATATTTTAATGTTGAAAAGAAGTTTATTTGAATATATATTTTTTTAAATATTTAATTTCATATTTTATCAGTATAAATATTATATAAATATTAAATATCATATTTCGTTATGTCATATAAATTGTGATTTAATTACAATCGATACACTGTTATGAGAGGTACGGTTATTTGAGTTTAAGTTATTATAAGTTATTAATAGAAATCAATTTTGTATGATATTAACGGAATGCATTGCTTATCAATTATATCTAATTGAAAATAATAATTTTTTGCTGATATATTTAACCTTAAAATTATTATATAAATAATTATTTAATCTTAAAATTATATTATATTAAAGAAATAAGA